GGTGGCAGGACAAGCGGCCAGGTGGAAAAGGATAGAGAAAATGAATGAAATAATTTCTTCTAGTGCTTCCCTTTGTAAGAATGAAGGAAAAATTGCTGACCAAACATTTTAATATTACAATATATTATTTTGTCTGTGCATTTGTATTTAATGGCTTTGTTTTCGAATTGCTTGTCCATGCCAAGTAGCTTATATGTTCAATAATGCAATTAGAAATTTGCCATTTCTAATCATTGAGGGTAAGTCTTCTCCTTTGTCAGTTGTTCCATAAGATTTTATCATACTTGATGAACCATGTAAGTTAGATAAATCTTCGACCGTATCTTTGGTCACCTCCCCTATCTTTCTAGCCCGGTGTTAAGCCTTACTGATGTTAAGCGCTCTAAAACTGCTCTTGTGGAGGGCACTATATAAAGACAATGTTCTTGAAACCTGTATAGTTCAAACAGCATGTTTAAGGAACCTGACTGCTTTTTAATGTTGGAAATGGTTTGATTTGTTTGCATAACATTTAAAAAGCTTTTGTTTATCCAATGTGTTGTGACAAATATCAAGATAAATAATCCTGCTTCAGGACAAAAGATAGTGTCATCCATTCTTCTGTCCAACATCCCATTTGATTGGACCTCCAAATAAGTGACACAAACCATTAATTCCTTCTGAAAGTCTTCTAAACTAGAACGTCATTCCTTTGCATAAAAGTGAATGACTGATCTAATATGGCCATGACTGTTTGTCCTTACATGGCCCCAAATAAGGTCAGTTATCTTGGTGCATCCTCTGTAACAGTTTCTAAAGTACTAAATATGCCATTGTCTTTCAAGTATGAAACCACATACTTCCTTATTTACTATCCACTCCTGAGAATTCACTTCAGTGTTTTCATTAAATAAATGGTTGAATAGATGTCTCTGCCCTCTTCTATGCTTGTGGGTTTTCTACAGCCAACTTAAGTTATTGACATGGGGGTGGGAGGGGAGAAGAAGAAAACAGGCTGGGAGTTATTGCTGAATTTCAGTATATGTAGCAAACATCCATCCATACAGTGAAACCCATGGTGATTTCATTATTTGTACGTTTAGATATTCCACAATACTGCTGATTTGTTATGATACATCTGCATTTGGTACCACACTTTTGAAGACATTTCAAAGCATTTCACAGAATATACTGTAAAGTCTAGTGACTTTGAGTTTGTAGGTGAACAAAACCACGAAACCAGTTTCTCAATTTATCATCCACGATTTTAACGGAATTCAATGAGGGAAAAATGGGTGTTGAATGGACAAGTATATATTATAATGTAATTTTAAAAAATGATGTGACTTCTTAATTTTAGACTGAGTTGTATGGTCTTAAAGGATAATTAATGTTTAATAACAGCATCAAAATGGACAAGTGAAGAAATTTATTTTCTGAATATTCTACTGTTCACTGCAGTACTATGGTTTAGTTCGCTTTCGTATCAATGTTTATTTGTATTATATTTAGCTGCCTGCAGATTCTATTGCTTAAGTCAAATTAGCAATGTCCAATTGTTGTGGGTTCAGTCTTACTCACGAGCAAAGGTTATGACTATGTTCAATATATTCAGCCTTTTCTCTTCACTGTAAGTTCACAGGGTTTCTAAATCGAGCCTGCATGGAATTAGCACCAGTAGTTTAATTGAATTGCCCAACTGGGAATCTTGTCAAGTGGCTCGTATTATCAGGGTGTTACAAGGTGTATTTGATGCAGTATCCCTGGACAAAGGAGGGAATTTCAACCATGTGTTTCACTTGCTATCTGGTGACCCCTACTGGTTGTCCACAGGTGAAGATGGTGGTCAGCTGGGCCGACCTCCATCCCCATAATTGATTTCTATCGTTCACTGCCTAAATACACAAAATGGGCACTGAGGCCATGTACCATAAGACTAATGGTGATCGTGGAACTAGGAACTTCAGAAGAGCTTGATTAAGGGGGGAGGGTGACAATTGGAGAGGCAAAAATTGTTTCATGGGTACCTGGATTTACTTTTGGAATGGCTTACGCTGGATGAAGTACCACTGAGATGAAGTTCAAAGTCTTTGTTGCTTACATTACAGCCCACCTCTGACCTTATAATTCAGCATCAGAGCCCAGGGTAAGTGACAGTGTGAAACTGTCTCACCCACCACGGCCTCTACTGTTGCTAGGAGACATAGTGTAGATCACAGACAAACTGGGTGGGTGGGGGGATCCCTCTGGGTCTTTGTTTACACTGTACAGACTTCAGTGTTGTGCTTTTTTAACATTGAATCAGGCTAAATGTGCTGTTATATAACAGGTGCAAGGGCTTTCTACAAGTTGTGTTGCAGCTGAATTACTTACTGGATTCACTCCAGGACAAACTTGTTGTGTAAATGGGGGTTAAAGGAACTTTCTGTGTTCACGATACAAACTTAATTTGAAAAAAAGTATTGATTTTTACTCAAACTAAGCTGCCTCCAACGCTTGACTTTGGAAAGATTTATGGCTTGTGATTTTATTTCACTGATTTCATTTGAAGCTCCCGTTGTGTTACTGGTATGTACAAGACTCTTGGAATGCTTTGATATAGCGTAGGTTACAGTTGATGGTTTTCTTTGAATCTTCAGTGGGGCATAGACCTTATTGGCTCAGAGGTCCATTGTTTTTCAGAAGGTATTGGGTTTTGCCTTCAGTCTCTTCTCAAAAAGTGAATTGCTACTGGGAGTACATAGACACTACTGTCAAAAGTAGCTGCGGTAAACTATTTTAAAATATATTTTGGGGTGATTGGGAGAAGGATTGCATGCCATTGCAGTAGTAAACATTTCTTGAACTGCAGAATTAGAAATCTTGACATTCGTAAAATCTGTCGTCCAAGATATCGATACGCATGTTAGAGATCTGCTGGTTGTGATTTTGCAAGGAAGTTAAAGGACTAGCAAGCAAGGATCCTAGAATTAAGTTATATTTTGACCAGGAAAAAATAGTCTGTCCACGGTACAACTGCAAGTCAAAAGGGTGTTCTGCCCGAATTAGAGGATCAATGGAGACTTTTGTTGATGGGATGCATTTTAAAAAAAAAGGGCAGGAGATTGTGATTTCAGTGTAGGAATTGAAACATTGATGAAAAATTCACCTGTTGAAAAACTTAAATTGTTGTTGCAGCAATGGTCATTATTAGGATTTTCAATAATCGAGCACTAAATAAATCATTAGAATACAATGTTCAATGCAAATACAAACCATCAAATGAGTTTTTTCTTTTCCTGCGAAAAAGTGACAAACTTCTGATTTCAGTAGATTGTGATCACATCTTGCATTGCATCTGTAACTTTTTTTAAAAAAATCTTGGATGACCATGTCTTGTAGTCTATGACCAATGGCTAAATCACTCAATCAGCATTTTGAGATAAAGGCTGACACACATACTTATTGTAAATGTATGATCAGTTGATTTTTAAAAATATAAATATTGAAACAGAGAAATGTTTGTTTTTCGGAAATGCCTTATTTCCCGAATGATGCTAATTTTGCAACCTTACTGTGCAGATGGGGAAAATAAAGATTTAAACCCACAAGAAGATTAATTGGAACCAGTATGCTGTATTTTCTGCCACTAGTTTTGAAAATAGTTCAAAAGTCTGCCATTCTATGCCTGCACTGGTTGATTCAATGTCCAGTTAATTCAGGAATATTTCAATATTGATTTGGGGGATATTTGGCTGATTCTCCTGAAATTTGCAATTCTTTCCTTGTGGGCTCCTACAGAAGTAACTTAATTCTTGTATAGTTTTGTACAGGAGAAGGACGGTCAGCATTGAACCTCACACAGATGCTGTCTGACTAGCTTAAACTCGCAAATTTGCATATTGCATTGGCTTCTGCACTGAGACAGTGGATCGATTAGGCTACTCCGTGAGATCGCGGAGCTTTAACAAGTTCAAGAAAGTCCGAAGTTGACTGATCAGTAACACATGAGGGTTCTGTAATATTTGCAATTCCTATCGGTGGTTTTCGCAAATGAACATAAACTGTGATGCTCAACCCAAGTTCTAGAAATTAAATTGTGAGTTTATGCACAGATGTCTGAAGGGAAGTTTTAAAAAGTCTTTACTAACGCTTCCTGTGTGTGCATTTCAAGTGTTTTTGCATTTTTTAAAAAAAAATTACGGGACCAATTGTGGTCTATTTGTCTCTGGCTGTTGCTTAATTGAATAAAAATAATGATAATGCATTTATTTTAACCATAAAATATTTACGTTGGGCTGCTGTAGAATACCAAGTATCAAATACCCAATTTAAGGAAAATTTATAGTGGGTGAATATATTAAAATTCTAGAGAAAAAATATAATGGATGAAAATTATACAAAACTAGGAAATGTGAAAACAATGGCAACTTATATTTTAAAAAAAGTTGTATTGATATTTTTATTCCAAATTTTTGAAGCTTTTCTTTTATCTACCATTTTCTTGTATACCGGCTCTTTTCTTACAGCAGAAAACACCCATCCCCTCTCCTTGCAGTTCAATGTAGCATTAATAGTATTGGTAATAGCACCTTAAAACATTCAGTTCAATGTGGTGATTGCATATTTTTACCCCATGAATATCTTTCTGCATTAGAAGGGAAGAAAGAGGTTGCTTTATTACAGTGTCTTATGTCAACAACACAGAGCAAGTCATAAGTAATTATTGTGAAGTGACTGTTTGAAGACAATGCAACAACATTGCAAGCTCCCATAAACTTCCATAAAGTGAGTGGGTAATCTAGGGAATTGTTGACAGAAAGACAGAAAGACAAACTCTTCTCTTTGAATAGTGTATTGTCCACCTGAACAGGCACACAGAACCCCAGTTTAATGTCTCAAAGCTCAGTGGTTATATTGAACTGTTTTCATCATGAAGCTTTTACCAAAAAAGAGCAAAGTGATTGATACTTAGATATGTTTGTGAGCCGAAGAAACCATTTCAGATGATTTACTTCTTCTCTCCATATTTCCTTTTGTAGAGTGCTTTGGTTTTGCTGCTGGACCTTCCACAGAGAATGATATGAGACTCGATAGAAGAAGACAATGCACACAGGTATTTAGTCTTTATATTATTCTGGGTATTGCCCATGGAGTATTGGGGAAAATTGTGTTCCTGTTCACACACAACTCTTATTTTTCTGCATAAAATAAATGTTTGACTTCTCAAATCGGAGCTTATGTCCGCCAAGTCTTAATTATGTGCTTCAGTTGAGCATTCACAAGTTGAAAAGTGTAGATCTTAGAATAAGTAACAATAAATTAATTCTTGGCTCAGTATGGTTTAGGCTGTATCATTCAGTCTAATTTCTGTCCTTCATTTATTTACAATATTTTCCCACACCAGAATCATTGTGTAGTGGGGAACAAACTAAAGCCTAATTGGAATTCCATTCCTCTAACAAATCTGGCACCACCTTAAAACTGCCATCTAGAGCTAATTAACTGAAACAAGTTGGGTGGTAATGGAATATTTTTTTTAGTTGAGCAGTTCAATTTGAATAAATACCCAGCATATGCTGTGAATTGATTTTGCTGGTGATCAGAAATATTAGTGCGCATTTTAGTTGAATATAATCGTATTGCGCAATGTAGGAGCTATTCCCCAAGATATTCAATCAATGGTAGCTGGAATGTAAATGATTATTTGCGAATCACTGATAGAAGAAACATTGGTGGAAGCTGAACAATCCATCTACTATTTTTAAATTGTTAGTTTTCCAATTCTATTAGTTCACCATAGGGTGGCTCTCATGGTTGCTCATTCTGCCTGCAAAATCAATTCACATTCTTACCTTTGGCGTTGCTTTCTTCTCACCCATGCTTGCTGAGCTCTGCCTTTTCTTATTTTAGCCATTTCTCCCTTACCTGCATTCTCCACTTAATCATATAGTCTAAGATGATACTCCAGTACAGTGCTGGGGGTGTTTTGCATTGTCGGAGGTGGATGTTAAAGATCTCGTAGCTCTATTTAAAAACAGAAGGGAGTTTCTCTCTCCCGATGTCCTGCCCAACAGTCCCCCAAATAAAATTGGTCACTCACTCCATGGCTGTTTGTAGGACACTGCTGTGGACTACAACTGGCTGCTGTGTTTCACCCACAAAATACATAATCAACTCACTTTACAGTATGTCCTGGGAAGAGCTTTGAGACATGTCAATGACATGATGAGGTGCTATATGAAATTCTATTATTATTATTATACGTTTGCCACTTGTAATGTCCATCTACCCAGGTAACAGCTTGATTTTTGTTTCTTGCCTGATACTCCCCAGCATCTCCCCACCAAAGCTTTCAGCCATTCAGCTCCCATTCTCTGCAATTCCGGGAATCCCTCACCTTCCTCCCCACTTTTAAAGGTCACCTTAAGACTTATTGACCTTGCTTTTGATGACTCTCTTGCCCCCCCCCCTCCCACCAAACCAATTCTTGCACAAGCTTGATGGCGCACTTGGGTATGAAAGCATTTCGAGATGACTCTGTTATAAAAGGCGCTATATAAATGTAAATTGTTCTTGTTACCTGCTGGTTCACACTTGCACTGTGTAGGAAAAGTCGTGTTCCTGGGAATCATGCGTGCAACTAATTGTTTGCTGGCATTGCATTTCATTCAAGTCCTGGTATGTGCATTCTGCTTTTCCACTGGATTCATCGTGACGGATAATAGTCTTGTGTATGTTCAAATACGAAGAATTAAACTCCCACAATAATTGTACCATCTGCTTTTTCTCCCACCTTGTTAATTATGATGAATCTTCAGCAAATAATAATAATAATAATCCTTGCATTTGATATAGCGGGATATGTAAGCCATATACTATAATTTGGAAAATACTATCCTGTTAGTTGATGGTTCCCAATAATGTTCAAAAGCTATATGAAAATGTTGCTATATTACAGTTATTGCGATCCTACTTCCTTGTAGTGTGAGGACTGGTGTTAAAGCTTCAAACGAGTATTGGAGTTTAAAAACTTGAAGTGTGTGTTGTCCAATTACACCATCGCTTATGATAGTTTTTGATAGATATTTCTAAAATCTTAACCGGAAAGTTACGACAGTTGAATTGAAACATTTCTGGTTAAAGTAGAAAATAACTTGTCGCCTGTTATGTGAATCGTATAAGTTTTGTCCAGGTCCTATCATACAGTAACAACCAATCTGCTAGAAATGACCAACGTCCAGTTGGCATCCATGTTGTAAATTTATGATCTTATTTTAATACTGCTGTTTTAAGTTTTGATTTCTCTGAAATATTGTATTACTTTCCAAAGCAACCCCAGATCATGTTGGGAATCTAGATTGTGCAGCGTTGGCAACCACCAAGGTCAACAGTTGCATGATCTCAATTTGGGACCTCTGTATTGTGTAGCTGTTTGGTATCTCAATACTGATACATATTGACAACTCACAACCATGGATGTAAATGCATCGCCCATTGAGTCCGAGCTTCTGTTTTTGAATAGGATACACAAAGGAATAATGAGCCGGTTCAGTTTGTCCCAGGAAACGAAGGTTGACTATTACAGTATATAGATCATATTGGCAAGGGGATTAAAAATTACGAAAAGGATTTTTTTTAACCAGACATAGCTTAATTTTGAAATTGTTCTATTGTGTTGCTTCAAGATTCACTAGAGGCAAAATGTGATAAGTATATGGTAATTGTTTAAAGGTTGTTTTGTAAGGTGATTTGTGAAGCTCTTTTGGAATGGGCTAATAGATTCAGAGTTTATTTAAAGCAAATTCATTCATGAAAGGGAAGGTACACTAGAAAGCATAGATAATAATGCCTGTGCAAATATAAAAATAGTCACAAAGGTCAAATCTGCACAACAAACAGCTAGTGCTGTAATCGTGAGTGCCACATACAATATTATGTATTTTTCAAAGATTAGGGAGTCGCACTCATCTGGAGAAAGGATGTATTGTACCACATTGGGACTTTTAAAAAGTTTGTTTTGGTCATGGGTGCATCGAAAATCAAAACGTTTATTTAAAAAGAAACATTCACAATAATCACCTTTTTTAAAACGATACTTTGTATGGTTTTTGTATTCCTTGCTTACTCGTCCTGTCCTGGACATATTTAAACATTCACACTCATCTCGGCTGCATGGAATCACTTTTTTTTAAAAAAAGCCAGGAGATACTACTTAAGAGGTATTTGGGAAGAGATTTTATTTTTGTCTTTTTCTTCCCATCTGCCCCCAGAACAAGGGGACATAATCTGAAAATTAGACCTCGGCTATTTAAAAATGAAATCAGGAAGCATTTTTTCACACAAAGGGAAGTGGAAGTCTAGAAATCTCTCTTCCCAAAAGGCTGTGGACGCTGGATCCATTAAAATTTTCAAGACGGAGGTGGATAGATGTTTGTTAAGTAAGGGTATCAAGGAATATAGGGCAAAGGCAGGTAATTGGGAGTTGAGATACAAATTGGCCATGATCTAATAGAATGGTAGAACAGGCTCGATCGAGGTCCTGAATGGCCTACTCCTGTTCCCACGTTACTGTATACCATCTCGCAATCTGCTCCAGAACCAATGGACCAAAGCTGAGAAGTGAGGTGGAGTTAGTCACCCCCAGGAAACTGAATTTGCAAATCTAATCCTCCTCCGTGTGTGCCATACTTTTATGTTTCTGTAGGTAACTTTTGATGCATACAGATGATTGCAGAGTATATTTAGAAAAAAAAATCAAGCTATTGTCGTTAGGAATCAGTTGACATTCTATTAAGGAATGGCAAAGGAATCCCATAATCAAATGTATGTGTCTGACTTTAAACTACTTTGAATCCTTGTTTATCTTCACATTCAAGTTAAATTAACCCTAAAATCTGTAGAATCAACCTCAAACTACAGACTTTGCGCTGAATAACAAATGTTATTTTTGTGACTTCACTCTGCTACCAGCTTGTATGCAAATAGTTCTTTTGTTGCTGCAGGCAAAATTGTATACTGACAAAATTCAAATGCTTTGTTGTAAGGTGTTTGCAGGGGTTTTAAATTTTTTTTTGGATATTGCAGCTCCCCACACGCATGTACACTGTTTTGTCACGTTCTTCTTTGCCAGAGGTAGATTTTGGAGCTTGGTAAATTGTTGCCTCAAGGGATCACTAAATGCATCTCATGTGAGGGAATTTCATTATCGAGAGTCATTTGACCTTTAAACCCGGGTAGATTGGCACCTGAGATTTCCATTGATTGTTTAAAGTAGTCAGTAGCGTGCACTCTCATGCTAACATGTGCTTTAAGGCACCTTGAATTACTCAGAATATATCGGAGGAGGAGAGAGTAGATGGAGAGGATCCTTCTAAAATTACTAAAATATTAGCTGTCTCTCATGTCCTTGACCTCCCCTCAGACTCATTGAATGTTTGCACAACCTAGGCAGTGAGTTCAATTCCCAGTTGCCTTTCCTACCCTACATCCAGTACCTGACCATGGTTGCTTTCTTCCACTTCTGCAACATTGCTCGCCTCCGATCATAACTCGCACCCAATGTAGCTGAAACCTTTATTCACACATTCATCACCTCCTGCCTCTAGATTTGCAATGCCCTCCTTGTTGGTCTCTCCAACTCCATCACTCATAAAACCCAATTGATTCAGAACTCTGCCGCCCATATTCTTACCTGCACCAGGCTCTGCGCCCCCATTATTTCTGTTCTTGCCAGGTTCAGAACCTCTGGAACTCTCTGCCTTCGTCACTTTGCCTTGTCCTTTGGGCGATGTTGTTGAACCTCGTGTAGAACTGAGCATAAAGACCATAAGGATGCCACGTTCAATCACTGATTAGGCTTTCTCAACAAAATTAATCTTGGACGCTTGGTTGTCAAGTTAAAGACGAGAAATTGTACATATAATCTGTTTCCAATAGTTGTTCAGCAACCCCCGATGGAGTTGAACATCTATCTAAGGATAGGAGCAGTTTCGGCTGTTAAAACGACCCCTCTTCAGTAGTTCTTTGACACTTACCATCCCAGACAATCGTTTTTGCTGCCTTCAAGAGTAGGATTATTCGGAGAGGAAAAAGTACCATAATGTTTTTACTGTA